TCCACGTGGCGCAGACTGCTTGGTGCGACCATAGCTTGCGTCCATGTGTTGCGCCATGGGGCTATTGCGGCCACCTTCCGAAGAGATTGCAGTACATTGCATCGTCTCGTTTCGCAGATCATTGCTTTTCATTGCGTCACATGCGCTGCAATAGTTGTATATATGTTCGACGTCGTAGTTTTTTCTGACAATGTGTTTGGCTGTCTGTGACCTCTCTTTGTTACTCGGTGGCGAGCCCAGGGACGAATGCAGAGTGGGTGGGCCTTCACAGAAGGCCCTGAAGGCTCCGAAGACCTCGGGCCTTTGAAAAGTTCTAGAATCCTTTTCCAGAGATAGAGATGGCTCCTCAGAAAACCCCGGGGATTCTCACAAGCCCCGCCGGCTTCTGAGACGGCCTGCGCCCTCAATTCCCCTACTGACGCGCCGCCGAGGGAGCGGGAGTACGTGTGAGGGTTTGATTATTGCTGTACTCCTTGGGCTTCAACTACTACTGCAATGATACTACTACTACTACTACTACTACTACTACTACTACTACTACTACTACTACTACTACTACTACTACTACTACTACTACTACTACTACTACTACTACTACTACTACTACTACTACTACTACTACTACTACTACTACTACTACTACTACTACTGCTACTACTACTGGTGCTGCTGATTCTATTACTACTACCACTACGACGTCTACTACGTCTACTACTACTACTACTACTACTACTACTACTACTACTACTACTACTACTACTACTACTACTACTACTACTACTACTACTACTACTACTACTACTACTACTACTACTACTAACTACTACGGCTACTACTACTACGACTACTGCTACTACTACTAGTACTACGATTACTACTACTACTACTACTACTACTACTACTACTACTACTACTACTACTACCACGACTACGAGTAATACTAGTAGTAGTAGTAGTAGTCGTAGTAGTAGTAGTAGTAGTAGTAGTAGTAGTAGTAGTAGTAGTAGTCGTGGTGGTTCTACTAGTAGACTACGACTGCGACTCTACTACGTTCTAGTAGTAGTATTAGTGCTTCAGCTACTTCTACTACGACTACGGCTACGACGACTACTACTACGACTACGGCTACGACTACGACGACGACGAGACGACGACGACGACTACAACGTCTACTACTAGTAATACGAGTCGCACTACCACAATTACGATCACTGTAGCTACTACTACGTTTACTGGTAGTGCATCTGCGATGCTTCGTTTTACTACGACTACTACTGCGACGACCACTACTACTACTACTACTACTACTACTACTACTACTACTACTACTACTACTACTACTACTACCACTACCACTACTACTACTACTACTACTACTACTACTACTACTACTACTACTACTACATCTTGTAGTAGTAGTAGTAGTAGTAGTGATCGGTAGTAGTGGTAGAAGGAGTACTAGTAGTCCTCGTAGTATGCGTACTAGTAGAACTAGTAGTGATGTTACTATTCCTTCTATTTCTACTACGACGGCTACTGTTATTACTCGTACCCCTCCTATTTCTTCTACAGCTACGAGTGCTACGAGTGCTACGATAACTATTATTACTACGTCTACTAGTGCGACTGCTGCTGACACTACTACTACTACTACTACTACTACTACTACTACTACTACTACTACTACTACTACGGCGAATGCTACTTTTGCTACTACTTCTACTATTACTACTACTACTACTGCTACCACTACCACTACCACTACCACTACTGCAACAACTTCTGCTACAACTACAACGCCCACTAGTACCATTACTTTTACTACTATACTGTTACGGCGACAACTACTACAACTACTATCATTCTACTACGACTACCACTACGACTGCGACTGCGACTACGACTACGACTACGACTACTACTACTACTACTACTACTACTACTACCACCACTACTAGTACTACTAATCATAATACTGCGACTACAACTACACCTGTCTTGGCATCCTGTGAGGGAGAGGCAGTCTTCGAATTGCTTTGGGGCCCTCTTGGGCCGTCTTGGGCCCTCGTACGCCGTCGTGGGGCTGTCTTATGCTGTTTTGGGACCTGGTTGGCCGCATTGTGTGTGTCTGTGGACCGTCGTTTCGGCCGTCGAGCGGCCTTCTAAAGGCCGTTTTGGGTTCCATGGGAGGCCCGCTTGGGCCGTCTTGGGGCCGTCTCTGATGCTTCTGGGGCCATCGTGGGACCTCTTGGGACATTTTGGGGCCCTCTTAGTGGCCTCTTGGGCCCTTCTTCGGGCCATCGTTTCGGATGCAACTCCTGGGAGGTCAAACTCTGACTTTGCCCTGGTCCGAAATTCGGCTTCATGTGGTTCAGTTCCGCTGAATCCAGCTTAATCCCGCTTTATCTGGTTTAATCCCTCTTAATCCGCGGCCTAATCCCGCGTAGTAGCCCCCCAATGGGGCTTAATCCTCCTTGTCCATTCCGACAAAAGACCTCCCAGTAGCTGCCTCCGAACATCGTGGAGGCTTCTTGGGCCGTCTTGAGCTGACGGAAGTCCGAAAATGCGAGAACGCGACAATGCTTCAAAAGCCCACCGGGACTCAATGATTGCGAAGGCTTTACGGCCGGTGCCGCCGACCTTGAAGGGAAACGACGAAGACGACGACGACAACGGCGGCGGCGGCAACGACGACGACGCTGACGTGGGCCAGAGTCCTCAGGGATGGTCCAGATGGTTCTTGGGGTCTATTCGGAAGTCTCTCGGGGGCCTCTGGAGAGGAATTTTTTGACCTCTTCGGGGCCTCTTGGGGACCTCTTGAGAGCCTCTTGGGGGCCTCTTAGGGCTTCCTGGGGACCTCTTGCGGGCCTCTTGGGCCTCTGGGGAATCTCTAGGGGCCTCCTGGAAGCCTGTTGGGGCCGAGGGCTCGAAATGTCCGTTCGGGCCCCCCGTCTGGGCACGCTCTTGGAGCCGTCTTTTGGGCATTGGGGGCCGTCTTTGGGGCATTTAGGGATGTCTTGGGGTTCTCTTGGGCTGTTTGGGGGCTTTCTTGGAGGCCTCTTGGGCCGTCTTGGGGAGATCTTGGGGGCCTCTGACGGCGTTTTGGAGCGGCGGAAAGTGGAAAAGGCGAGAACGCCCAAATCTTAGAACAACCAGCGGAAAAGCAAGAATTTGGCCTCTTGGGGCCCTCTCGGGAGTGCTCTTTGAGGCGTGTTGGGGCGTCCTGGATGCCTCCTGGGCAGTCTGGAGGGCGTGAGGGCGTTTTGGACCGATCGTTTGGCGATTAGGACCTTCTTGGACCGTCTCGGCGGCATCTTGGGACACTCCTGGCCTGTCTTAGTACTTTCTGAGGCCCCAGGGTCCCCAGGGGGGGAAAGCGAATCTGGGTGGGGGCCCCCCGGGACCCCCCCAGGACCCCCCCCGGCGCGGGGAAGGGATCAAAGTGAAGGGGCTTTCTTTCGATTTGATTACGACATTGCTAGATTTTTCTCTCGCTGACAAGCCTGAGGAGGGTGCAGGGTAAGGGGACGACGGAAACGACGTCTGACGGAGACGACGACTCGAACAGCCAAGCCCCTCACACACGCCGGCAGGATCGGTGGATTTGGATTTCTTCGGACCTTGCTGGAGATCCTCTCGTGGCCCTTTGCGGCCCTCGTGGATGCATCCTGGGTCGTCTTGAGGCCATATTGGTCCGCCGAAGCATCTTGGGGCATCTCAGTGTGCTTCGTTGCCTGCATGGACCGTCTTGGAAGCTCGGGTCGCGTACGCCTTGGCTTTAACGAGGAATCGTGGCCTCTGAAGCGCGGATCCTTTTTTATGCACGAGGGATTGTGGTCTCGGGATGGAGGACGATTCATGAAGATAATCTTCGAAGGGGGTGCTGTCCCTACCAGACAGCCCTTGGCATTCTTCCAAGCCTCAACGTGCACACTGCACGATGGCGGATGATTTTAGATACAGTCGGCCCGGATGAGTAGGTCGACTCTGCCAAATCAAGGGTACTTTTGTGTCCTGCGTCTCGCGACCCGTGCCTCCTGCATTCCTGTGGCAATGCGACCCTCGGCAGGGTTTTTTTATCCCCTCGCGTGTCCTGTCCAATGCAGTCCGACTGGATGGGCGAGGGGGGTCACGTCCCAGGACAGCCAGTTCGCAGGTGGGGCCAGGGCGCCAGCCTGCCCGAACCGTCCGCGGCGCCAGGGCCCCGCTGCTGCCCCTTGGGCCCGGGGAGCGCCCTCGGAGCGTCCCCGCCTTGCGGCCTCCTCGCCGCCGCTGTCGTCGTCGTCGTCGTCGTCGTCGCCCTCGCCCCCAGGGATTCTTCCTCCTCCTCTTCCTCCTCCTCCTCCTCTCCTCCCTCCACCTCCTCCTCCTCCTCCCTCCTCCTCCTCCTCCTCCTCCTCTCTCCTCCTCCTCCTCCTCCTCCCTCCCCCTCCTCCTCCTCCCCCTCCTCCTCCTCCTCCTCCTCCTCCTCCTCCTCCTCCTCCTCCTCCTCCTCCTCCCCCTCCTCCTCCCCCTCCTCCTCCGTCTCCGCCTCCTCCTCCTCCTCCGCCTCCCCACGGGTGACGGTAACGATCGTACGTAGAGGGGGCCTGAGTCCCCGCCACACGCCGGTGCTCGCGCGCACCCACTGTGGCGGTCGCAGCGCGCCCCCAGCCCAGCGTGCCCCACCCTGCCCCGGCGTCACCGCCACCCGCGGCCCCAGCCCCTTCCTCTGGCTCCTTCTAGGTCTCCCGATGGGGTCCGTGCGTGGGGTCGGAGGATTGCGCCGCATCGCTGACGCATCGTCGATGCGGCTCGATTTGGAGCCCCGATCTAGCCGCGCCGGCGTCGCCGATGCACCGCCGACGTCGCCGATCCTTCGATCCCATCCACGAGGTCTCTATCCTTGCCCGCATGTTGCCGCCGCTCGTCGTCCTCCCGGGACGGCGCCCGCGCGCCGTTTGGCGGGGCGCCAGCGGGGTGCGGTGAGTGGTAGCATGGTTGGCGGGCGGAGCGGCCAGGTGTACGAGGAGGACGGGTGAGTCCGCAGCGTGGGCGGCCGACAGCGCTTGCCCCGGGCGCGGAAAAGAATTGGCGCTCGATGCGCCTTGGGCTGGGGGGAGGGGGGAAGATGCGCACGTTTGACTGGTGGGTACCGCAGACGATCACAGCGGGTAGGGCAGGCGTTTCGCGTGGTGCATTGGGGCTCACAGCAGACCCCATGCAGAAGAAAGGGCAAGACGAGAGGAGTTCAGCCGAAAGGATGCACACATGGGGCGTTCCAAGAAGGGCTTTGCCTTCGAGGATCGGAGGAGTTGCCATCTCTTCCGCGGCGGAAGGCGGCGGAAGGTCGGCGGAAAGCGGCGGAAGTGAAGCAGCGGCGGCTCTCCGCCAGCGGAAGCCGGCGGAAGCAAAAGTCGACCTCCCAAGAGATGACAACATTTTTGGGTTCAGGTTTGCAGAGTCGGCCACATGAGCTGCAGTTTGGACACCCCCCTCATGCACAGGGGCCGACGGAGCAGCTGTGCGGGCATTCGCGGCAAGGGTCTCGGCATCGTGTCTGTGGGGCGAGTCCGCGCGGTCGGAGTGCTGGAATGTGTAGGCTGCTGTGGCCCTCCCACTTTTGATGTGCTGCACCTGTTGCTTCTGCACCAGGGCCTAGACCTGGTATACCAGGCAATCCAGCGCTCTGCCATACGTTTCCTGGTAGATTGCACGGCGCCTGGGGAGACAGAGCTGCACCAGCTCCTTGTGCGTCATGGGGCTCCAGTTTGGGCGAGCCTTCGCCCGAAGCATGCGAAGTGAATCAAAGAGATCTGCATCAGCGAAGTTAGTTTACCTAAGAGAGGGAGCTACCCAAGCAGGCGCCTTCAACAGTTTAATAGACCAACACACTTTACAGACTCGCCCCAGCAAAGTACAGTGTCTTTGCAGAGTCCGAGTGCGGTCCTTATAGGGTCCTGGCTCTGTCCTGCTACCGCCTCCCCCCCTCCCTCCCGGCCGAGCTCAACTGCAACAGGGGGTCTGTAACAGGGGGTCTGCAACCTGGAGTGTGAAAGAGGGTGTCTGCAACAGGGGGTCTTCAATGGGGGCTGAATGGCCCATGTATGCTCAATGTATCGCTCATGTATGTGATTGGGAACGATTGGCATCCAATGTTGGCGGTCATGGAGGGCCAGTCGTTCGTGCCCGCGCGTTGCCCGCGTGGGCACACGCGCCGGCCATCCATTATCGTTCATGCGTGCGGGCGCTCTTGCATTCTGCGCGTGGGATTGCGAAGTGGAGTGCAAGTGTGTCTTGATTGTGCGATTGATGATCGCGTACGTTCCCAAACGATGAATTATCGACCACCAAGACAAATTTGGAATGGGTCCCGCGACTCTTCCCAAAATGTGAATTCACAATTTTCTTTTTTTCCAAAATGTGAATTCGCATTTGCCTTTTCCCAAAATGTGAATTCACATTCTGGCCCCTCAATGGAGACTCCTACACAAAATTCCAGAATGCGAATTCACATTTTCCTTTTTCGCAAAATGTGAATTCACATTGTCCTTTTCCCCAAAAATGTGAATTCACATTTTGCTTTGCCCCATAATTTGAATTCACATGTTGCCCTGGCCTTCAAGATCCCCAAACCTGAGGCGCAGTGTCCCGCATGTCTGATTGGCTGGGCAGATTTTGGCACTCACCTCACTTTTCTCTTTTTTTAACCTTGTCTTTTTGCTCCCTCAGCGCACCTTGCCTTTCGTCGCCTTTCCTGGGCCCCCCGCCCCCTTGCTTCGTTTCCCTTCAAGTTTCGCGCATGGGTGCAGGCGGGGAGCTTCAATTGGCTCCCCCGCCGAACACAGCAATCGAGGATGCATCGTCCATTCATGGCCCATGAAAACACCATTTCCCGGACCCTTTGCCCGACCCCCTTTGCTTAACGCCGATTAAGTCGGCGTTAGGGAATTCGGTTCGCGCGTAGCCCGCGCGACCCTTGACGCTGCTGGCGCGCTCGCCTGCGGTTGCGACCGAAAACTATTTCCAACAACCTATCCAGAAACGACGCCCAGGCGAGCTGCCCCGGTCATTGAAGCGCTGGAGTCAGAGCGCTATCCTATCCGATGCTTTGCTTTTGGAGGTATCGGGGTTTTGCTCAACGTGATGGTCGGGGGGAACGAAAAGGGAGGGATAGCACAGGGCAGGGTAGAGCATCAGCTCACGTAGCTGATTTTCCCAGCGCCTCCCGGCTCCGGGAGGCGCCCATGCATCGAGGAGTGGGCCCGGCGACGGGGCCGAAACCAGCTGCATGCAACAGATTTCGTAACCCCTCCTTTTCCCTTTCCCCCCCCCTTCGTTCGGCCCGAGATGACCTGGCTTGATCCGTGTGCTCTCAAGGGTCCTCCCGATCGCTCCCGCGGCGTGGGCGCAAAACTCCGACATTGTATCCACCGATTGGCTCTTCCAGGGGTGCTCCATTCGGGCCGAACGACAGGTGGTTTACGACATCTGCTGCATGCGGCTGGTCTCGGCCCCGCCGCAGGGCCCCTCCTTCGATATACATGGGCGCCTGCATTGCGCCGGGCGGCGCCGGGAACATCAGCGCTGCGCGAGCGGATTCTCTGCCCCATACCCTTTGCTATCCCTCCCCCCTTCGTTCCCCCCGATCCTCGCGCGCCTCTCTTGCAGGGGGGGCGCTGGGAAAATCAGCGCCACGTGAGCCGAGTCTCTACCCTCTCTGTGCCGTTTGCGATCCCCCCCCTCCGTTCTCCCCGATCCTCGCGCGCGTCCCTTGCGCAGGGGGAGGCGCTGGGATAATCAGCGCTACGCGAGCCGATTCTCAACCCCCGTGCCCAAACTTTGCAACCGCCCTCCCCTTCCGTTCCCCCCGATCCTCGCGCGCCTCCGTCTTGCAGGGGGTGGGGGGGCACGACGACGCTTATCCGCGCCGTGTGCCGTGTGCCGGCCCGGGCGCGCCGGGGTTCTTTAGGCGCTGTGCACCCGCACAGGGCGGCCGTGCGGGCGCCACGGCGGCGAAGGCCACGCCGGCACAGATGGCTGGACTCCAGGACTTGCACGAACGAGATGGGCACGGAAAACATGGGGACAATGCTCAACAACAGTGCCTGTTCATGTTGAACAGGATTCGCTGTCCACGCCGCCGCGGCCTGTGTCCATTTAAGACACAGGGCCGCCTGCCCAACAGCGGCCGCTGTTGGTTTGGGACAACATCTGCTGTTGACCATTGTGCTCAGTGTGTCCGTGCCCACTTCGGGCGTCCAGACAGGAACGCCCCCTGCTGGCCTGTCGGAGGATCAATGAGTACAGTCGGGGCCCTGAAGAAGGAACCTTTTGCGTTGGGGAGGGGCTCCGCGTTCCTTACGTGTTTCGCAGTATGCCTCCGGTGTTCCTTATGCGTTCGATCGGAAATCGACGGTTGACTCATGGATAAAAGGGGCCTCGTTCCTTATTTCGGGCTCCTGAGGTCAAGCCCCAGACTAGCTCGGACAGTTATCCCCCTTGATGGGCTGCGGCGGTAGCGCTGTGGTACGCGAGTGGCATAGGCTGCCACGGGCCCTGCGCGGCTGCGCTGCGCTTTCGGAGTTCCTGCCTGCATGATGTTCTCTGTGAATTTTTGTTCCTTCATGGATGTGTCGACAAAAAAAACCCGACTGTACTGCCGGGCCCAGCTAGCGGAACGAGGTCGCTCCGGGGAGGGCGCCATCCATAGAGTGCGCTTCGACCGTGCGGGGCGCTCCCTCGTGCACTTCGAGGGGCGGGGGCGGGGGGTCGCGGCGACGCTCCCGCGCGAGGCCGTGGGCCCTCCGGCCCGGGCGCCCGAGCTGCAGAGGCGCCGCCCCCGCGCGCGGGCGGTGGTCGCGCGAGGGCGCCATGGCGAGGGCCACGCCGGCGCAGATGGCCGGGCTCCAGGACCGCCCTCTTTGCCGGCCCGTGTATCGACCAGTGCCCTCTCCGCCGGAGTGACCTCTGATGCGGGCGCGGATGGGCCCCCATATGGCCGAACGCGAAGCGGTAACAGCGGCCGGCGCGCCTGGATTTGGCCTCCCCGCGGCACCCCCAAAGCCGCGCACCAACGGTCACTCCTACCCAGGGTCACATTCACGTGTAGCCGAGTGTAGGGGAACAAAAAGTGACATAAAAATAGACACTCAGAGGTCCGCGCGGATTTCTCGGATCGGCGATGGGGCCCCCCGGCGGCGCCTCCGGCGCCGCCCCTGGCGCGCTCCGCGCGCCAGGGAGGGGGGTCCAGCGCCGATCCGAGAAATCCGCGCGGACCTCCGAGTTTTATATTTATGTCACTATTTGTTCCACTAGGCTTGTGGGAGAATCAGTGAATACTCGGGTACAGCCAGGAGCCCAGGTATGGGGACCTTCTTGGTAGTAGGGCCCTGGACAGGGAACGAAAAAAAGTGGCATTCACAAAAAAACTCGGAGGTCCGCGCGGATTTCTCGGATCGGCGCCAGGACCCCAGGTAAGGGGACCCGGTTGGTAGTGGGGCCCTGGGGACCTTAAACTGGCCAGGGTCACTGAATCAGGTCTGCCGTAATTGGTGTTTCTTTGGGCGACGGCAATTCCGGTTGGTGGAACGGGGCGGGGGGGTCGCCTTCCAGGAATTACGCATCACTAAACCAGGTCCCTCTAAACCCAGTTTTGCCAACGCCCGAAAGACTGCCGGACCGAGCCAGAAGAACGAGGTCGGTCCGGGGAGGGTGCCGCGTAATGTTTTCCGCGGTTGTGGGATGCTATTGTTGTGCACGCAGGGGGGGATACGCTTGGATGCTCTGTGCGCTGTGGCCAGCGGAGGGTCTCGTGTTCCTGAGGGATGCTCTGCTTTCTCAGGCTCGACTGTAGAGAAGCAGGAGTCGGATGCGCCGCGCGCGACTCAGGAGGAAACGAATCACACAAACACAATAAATCCTCGGTTCCCCAGGAAATATGGGAAAGTATGGCAAGTGGGGGGGGAAACAGGAACCCCAAAAATATAGGAAAATATGGGGAATCGTTTTATTTGTGTGTTTTTGTTTGTTTGTCCCAGGGCCCTTTCAGTGACCGTGTGCCCTCCGTTCCGCCATCGTGCATGCCGAGTGCAGTGTAGACCGTTCAGGTATCGGTGCACGCGTGCTTCGGGATGTTGTTTCGGGCAGTCTTCTCCAGAACAGCGGTGCCATGAGATGCGTCCTGTGTGCACGTTTTGAACCATGTGTTACCTTTATTTGGCACGGGTCGTGGATTTTCTTATGGCTCGTTGTTCCCTTGCCTGGCTCTTCTTTTTCATTGAGTTGTTGTGGTCTCAGTTGAACCCGTAACTTCAGTCTCGGGGGGGGTCACTCCCCTGTAACGTTAAGTCGGGCCTGTCTCTCTACAGGAGGAATATCCAGCAATAGGCAAAACATAGCCAGGGGACGATTTGTGGGAGTATTCTTTGATCATTTATGAGCATATTGTGAGTGCGTTTTTTCGTCAAAAATCGGCCTGCAGGGGGACATGCCCGACCTGACCGTAACAGCAACGAACGTACGCGTGGGTGGTGCCGGTTCCCCCTCAGGTATGGCGGTGTGCTCACGGGCGTGCTGTGGTGTTGACCGGCATGCTAATGTGTTCGCAAGCATGCTGTGGCGCTCGCAGGCATCGGGCTCTCTGGAAGTGCCAGGAATGCCAGCAAGTGCGGTGTTGCTGCTGCTGCGCCTGCTGCTCCTGTTGCGTCTGCTGCTGCAGCTGCTCCGGTGCTCATCCAGCTCGTCCTCGGGTGTTCCTCCTGTGCTCTTTCTGTTGGTCCTCCTGCTGCTCGTCGTGCTGCTGCTCCTGCTGCTCGTCCTGCTGCTGCTGCTGCTGCTCCTCTGGCGGCTCCTCCTGCTGCTCATGTTGGTGTTCCTCCGTACCTCTCCTGCTGCCATTGCCTGATCCTGTCGCTCCTCCTGCTGTTCCTCTGGCCGCCACTCCTGCTACTCTTCCTGTTGCTCCTCCTTCTGCGCCTGCTGCTGCCGCTCCTGCTGCTCCTCCCGCTGCTCCTCGTCGTGCTCGTTTCCTGCTCCTCCTGCAGCTGATCCTTTTGGTCCTCCTGCTCCTCCTCGTGCTGCTCCTCCTGGGTTTTGTTTCGTCTCTGGCTGCTTTCTCCTGCTTGTGCTTTGGCTGCTCCTCCTGCTGCGCTCCTCCCTGCTGCTGTTCCTCCTGCTCATCCTCCCCCTCTTTCTCCTGCTTCTCCTGATGCTGCCGTGCTCTGTCTCCATTGCTCCTCCTGCTGTTTATTATTCCATTCCTGCTTGCTGCTCAGGTGCTCCTCCCCCCGGCTCCTCTTGCTCCTGCTCTTGCTGCGCCTCCTGCTGCTCTGGTGCTCCTCCTGCTCTTCCATTTGCTGCGCCTCCTAATGCTCCTTTTGCTGTCCCTCCTGCTGCTCCTCCATTTGCTCCCGCTGCTCCTTCTGCTCCTCCTCTTCGCCTGATGCTCCTTCCCCACCTGCTGCTTAGCTCATCCTGTTGCTGCTCCTTCCTTTGCTTGTCTGACCTTTACAACAGCAGCCACAATTTCTACTACTGTTGTTGCTGCTGTTATTGGCACTGTTACCCCAGATGCAGTGTCCACTCCGCAGTGGGTATTCGTATCACTTCTACTACGAGTAATATTAGCACGAATCTTCCGCACATGCACCTCGGAAGCATTATACGAATTACGATTACTACCACGTTGAGGCGATTGTTTGAACGAATGTTCGTCAATCCTTCTGCTGACATTACTAATATTACGTTTGCTAGTACGTCGTGCTACGGAACATTCGCATTCCGTAGTGAGACGGCCAATCGTACCAGTAGTAGAAGAATAGTCGTAGAAGTAGTTTTCGTAGTAGTAGTCGTAGTCGTAGTCGTAGTCGTAGTCGTAGTCGTAGTAGTAGTAGTAGTAGTAGTAGTAGTAGTAGTAGTAGTCGTAGTCGTAGTAGTAGTAGTAGTAGTAGTAGTAGTAGTAGTCGTAGTAGTAGTAGTAGTAGTAGTAGTAGTAGTCGTAGTAGTAGTAGTAGTAGTAGTAGTAGTAGTAGTAGTAGTAGTAGTAGTAGTAGTAGTAGTAGTCGTAGTAGTAGTAGTAGTAGTAGTAGTAGTAGTAGTAGTCTAGTAGTAGTAGTAGTAGGTAGTAGTAGAGAGTAGTAGTAGTAGTAGTAGTAGTAGTAGTAGTAGTAGTAGTAGTAGTAGTAGTAGTAGTAGTAGTAGTAGTAGTAGTAGTAGTAGTAGTAGTAGTAGTAGTAGTAGTAGAGTAGCAGTAGTAGTAGTAGTAGTAGTAGTAGTAGTAGTAGTAGTAGTAGTAGTAGTAGTAGTAGTAGTAGTAGTAGTAGTAGTAGTAGTAGTAGTAGTAGTAGTAGTAGTAGTAGTAGTAGTAGTAGTAGTAGTAGTAGTAGTAGTAGTAGTAGTAGTAGTAGTAGTAGTAGTAGTAGTAGTAGTAGTAGTAGTGGTAGCAGTAGTAGTAGTAGTAGCAGTAGTAGTAGTAGTAGTTGTAACCGTTGTCGTAGTAGCAATAGTAGTAGCAGCCATCGCAGTATTTGCGGTAGTCGTAGAAGGAGTAGCGGTATACGTAGTAGTAGTAGTAGTAGTAGTAGTAGTAGTAGTAGTAGTAGTAGTAGTAGTAGTAGTAGTGGTAGTCGTAGTCGTAGTAGTAGTAGTAGTAGTAGTAGTAGTAGTAGTAGTATCAGTAGTAGCTGTAGTCGTAGTAGTTGTAGTGGTAGTAGTAGTAGAAATCGTAGTAGTAGTAATCGTAGCACTAAGAATCTCATTCGTATTGATAGTAGTGGAAGTAGAAGTAGTAGCATAAGTAGAAGTACAAGTACACGTATAAGTATAAATGTTAGAATAAGTATACGCATAAGTAGTTTTAGTAGTAGAAATCGTAGTAGTTGGAGTAGTAGTAGTAGTAGTCGTCGCAGTAGTAGTAGTAGTAGTAGCAGTCGTACTAGTAGCCAGATTCTTAGTAGTCGTAGTCGTGGTCGTAGCAGTAGCCGTAGTAGTAGCAGTAGTGGAAGCAGTGGTAGTAGTAGTAGTAGTAGTAGTAGTAGGAGTAGTAGTAGTAGTAGTAGTAGTAGTAGTAGTAGTAGTAGTAGTAGTACTAGTAGTACTAGTAGTACTAGTAGTAGTCGTAGTAGTCGTAGTCGTAGTCGTAGTAGTAGTAGTAGTAGTAGTAGTAGTAGTGGTAGTAGTAGTAGTAGTAGTAGTCGTCGTTGTCGTCGTCGTCGCAGTAGTCGTAGTAGTCGTCGTCTTCGCCGTCGTCGTCGTCGTAGTACTAGTAGTATAGTAGTATAGCTGTATAGTAGTAGGACGAGTAGTAGTCGTGGCAGCCTCTTGTTTCTATTATTATGATGCGTAGTAGTCGTAGTAGTGGTAGTAGTAGTAGTAGTAGTAGTAGTAGTAGTTGTAGTAGTAGGAGTAGTAGTAGTAGTAGCAGTAGTAGTAGTAGTAGTTGTAGTCGTAGTAGTGGTACGAATAGTGGTGGTTAGTGTACACGTGCTTGGCAGTTTTTGTAGAAGCGCTAGTAGTGGGACTAGTCAGTGTAGTTGCAGCGGTAGTTTTAGTTGTGTCAGTGGTATGTGTTGTAGTGCCGTTGATTGGTTGTACCATTGGTGCTAGTAGTAGGATCACTACGACGAACAGTACGAACACGACAGTTATTGTGCTAGTACTACCGCTGATTTGCTATTGTTGCCAGTGCTTTTCTATCTCTACTTGTACTATTCGTCGCCGCTGTCAGTCGTCGTTTTCGCCGCTGGTCGTCGTTGTCGTCGCCGATGGTCGTCGTCGCTCTCTTGAACGGTCGTCGTGTCGTCGTCGTCGTCGTCGTTGTCCTCGTCGCCGTCGTCGTAGATGCCGTTTCCGTTGCCGTTGCTGTCGCCGCTGGTGGTCGTCGTCGTCCTCGTCGTCTTCGTGGCCTTGACCAGCATTCCTACCACTGCTTGTACTGCTACTGCCATCACTGCGGCAAGTGCCATGCCCGAGCCCGCCACGCCAGCGTTAGACCCCCCCCCCACGCTGGCCAGACGTCCCCCCGTCACGGACGCTACGGGGAGGGAATGTGGCAAACACGCTCTCCGTCCCGAGTGCTCTGGCAGGGTAAATCAGAGTGAGTCCAGAATTGGAAACCATCGAATGGCCTTCTGCCCATACCGCCAGTGTGCCTCGGTTGCGGGTCAGAGTTCTCATGGATACTTCTTGGGCGCTCTGAGGAACGCTCTCGGGAGCTTCTGTGGAGCAGGTTCGAGACCTCTTGGGATCCCCTTGGGAGCCTCTTGGGGGCCTCTCGGAAGCCCTTTGGGGCTTCCTGGGGGCCTCTTTGGGCCGCTTGCGGGCCTCTTGGGGGCCTCTTGGTGCCACCTGGGAGCTTCTTGGGGCCGAGGGCTTGACATGTCCGTTCGGGTCCCCCGTCTGGGCTTCGGGCCTCTTGGCCAGTCTCTGAAGCCTCTTGAGCCGTCTTGGGCCTTTCTGGCCAGTGGTGGGGCCCTTTCGGAGGCACCTTGGGCCGTTTTGGGGCCATCTTGGGCGCCCCTTGGTCCGTATTGGAGCGTCGGGGAGCCAAAAGGGCGAGAACGCCAAAATCTTTCAAGAATTCCAGGAATATTAGTGGATTCTGCCTCTTGGGGCCCTCTTGGGAGGAGGCCTCTGGGAGGCCTCTGGGGGCGTCTTGGAAGCTTCTTTTGCCGTCAATAGGCCGCCTGGGGCGTCGTGGACAGATAGTTCAGCGACTCGGGGCCCCCTGCCCTCCCGGACCGTCTCGGGGGGCCTTTTGGGGCTCCCTTGGCACGTCTGGGGGCCCTCAACGAACAAGATACCCGACAAGCCGCCCCGGACTCCAGAGTCAGGGGGACGACGACGAACCACGAAAGTAAAGGGTCTGGCGCGAGGGGGGGGCGCCAGAGCCAAGGAGTGAGGCCACGCCTGTAAGCTCAATATAACATATGTACATATATATATATATATATATAGGGCAGGAGGACTGGGGCGAGGGGGACAGGGGAAGCAGGCCAGAGCCAGGGGGACGACGACGAACCACCAAAATAAAGAGTCCGGGGCGAGGGGGGCTGGCCCGCCGGGGTCCGGGCCCCGTGGGGATCCTCGATCCAGAGGGCTGAGGACTGCAGCAATGCACCCCAGAGCGGTCCCCTTCCGTGCCTGGAGGCATGGTGGCGGGTACAGCAGGTCGACGCAGCAGACCGCGAGCTACGCTCGGTACAACGACGGGCCGGACTCACGAACGTGTTATCTACTGGACCCGCCATGCTTACAGGAGGCTCACGTAGAGGGGGCCGCAGATTTTAAACCATCGTGCTTCAGTTTGTCGTCATGGTGTACAGCACATGTTCTCTAGACTTCGCTTCGGCAGACGGTCCAAACAAAAATGCAGGGTAGAGCACAGTGGAGTAGGAAGAGCAGCGCCGTGGGCATTCGTGTGGCTCGGCGATGGCCCTGTGGCCTTTGTAGCTAGGGGGGGCTCATGTAAGCCATTGTAGCCCCGAAGCGCTCCTGGACCACGATTGATTCTGGTGGGAAGAGGTCAAAACTAGAGCGGTAGGGGGGTAACAAGTAGTCCCTTTTCGCAAGATTTACCGCTGCATGCTGTGCTCACCCGGGCCCACCCTCACTGGACAACCTACGATTTGTCCCAAACTTCCTGTGGTGTCGGGTCCTCGTTTTGAAGAGACGGTACCCCGTGTGTCCTCCCCTTCCTTCTCCCCCTCCTCCCCCACATCCTATCCCGCCCCTCTGCCCTCCGCACCCAGCATTCGTGGCCCCATATGGGGACCCCATCGAAGGCCCCAGTGGCTGTAACCACTTGCGTCCCACGCCACCCAGTACGGCGCTTCGTGGCCTCATAAGGCGCTCCACCGAAGGCTCCAGTGGCTGTGACCACAAGCGCTCGCGCCACCCAGTGCGGCGCTTCGTGGTCCCATAGAGGGCTCCACCGAAGGCCCCAGTGGCTTTGACCACTTGCGTCCCGCACCACCCAGTCAGGCGCTTCGTGGCCCCATACGGGGGCGCTCCACTGAAGGCCCCAGTGGTTGTGACCACATGCGTCCCGCACCACCCAGTACGGCGCTTCGTGGCCCCATACGGGGACCCCACCGAAGGCCCCAGTGATTGTGACCACATGCGTCCCGCGCCACCCAGTACGGAACTTCGTGGCGCCATAGGCAGCTCCACCAAAGCCCCTAGTGATTGTGACCACTTGCGTCTGCGCCGCGCCACCCAGTACGGCGCTTCGTGGCCTCATAAGGCGCTCCACCGCAGGCCCTAGTGGCTGTGACCACTTGCGTTCCGCGCCACCCACTACGGCGCTTCGTGGCCCAACATTGGGGCCCCACCGAAGGCCCCAGTGGCTGTGTCCACATGCGTCCGCGCCACCCAATACGGCGCTTCGTGGCCAAGTGGGAGCTCCACGGACAACCCCAGTCGCTGTGACCACTTGCGTCCGCGCCACCAACTACAGTTTTCGTGGCTCCACAGGGATCTCCACCGAAGGCCCCAGTGGCTGTGACCACATGCGTCCGCGCCACCGAATATGGCGCTTTGTGGCCTGCCCCTAAGGAGCTCCACCGAAGGCCAAAATGGTTGTTTACATGCGACCGCGCCACCCAGTACAGCGTGTCGTGGCATGCACTTCGGAAGCTCAACCGAAAGCCTTGGCGGCGGTGTCCGCATGCCCCCCCCCTCCCATGTCTGCATACCTTCGCGCGTCTCGTGGCTCCACAAGGAGCTCCCCCTCCTTGGTTCCAGCTGCCTTGCGGTACTTGAAATTGCTTATGGTTGGGTCTTTCGCCATGGTATTTTTTTCGGCTGGTCGATTCTTGGGTGTGCACATGCGTTGAGACTCGCAGCAGCATTTCTGCGAAGCAGGGTCCGGTTAGCAGAGGGATGAAATCGAGATGGTGCAGCTCACGACGGGCCAACGGAGGCATTAACCATTGCCGGCCAAATATGTGTTGAGGGCGGTGTGTGATGGAAGCTTAGGGTTGTTCGAAGATGAATGGGTCGGTGAGGCGGACAGGGCAACCCATGGAGAACAGGCATGGTGGATAGGGAATCGGGAATTCAGCAGCTGTTCAATTTACATTGTATCCGAACCAGGACAGATTGCACAACTCTATTTATGCAGGCGTGGAACGAGCTGCGGCACCGGTTGCTCATCTTGAGGAGGGGCCATGTGGGAGAGATTGCTTGCGATGTAATGAGGGACGAATGCGTGTCTGCAAACATGAGTGCAGAGGCCGTCGATGAGCGGGCCTATCTACAGGAAGGCTTTCCAATTTCTTTGATGTCCATCCGTCCCCCGCGGCCCAGCTGCCGCTTCTTGTTCCACCGTGGTCGGATATGAACCAAGCAGCCGCACTGTCCTCTGGCATCCAACCAGGCGCCCCCGGATCGGAAGCAGCAGGAGATGAGGGAATATCCAAAAGACAAGGATTTGGCGAAACAAGACAAAGCTATGTTGCACTCGATGCGCCAGGGGGCCTTCGCAATCATCTGGGCCTCCCAGATGGGGTCCGAGTAGATGGGGTCGGAGGATCGCGCCGCATCGCCCATGCATCGCCGATCCTGCTCGATGTGGAGCCCGATTTGTTCCACGCCCATGGCGTCGATGCGTCGCCGACGTCGGCGATGCGTCGCCGATGCATCGCCGATGCATCGGCGATGCATCGGCAATGCATGGCCGATGCGGCGCGATCCTCCAACAACATCTACTCAGACCCAATGTGCGAGGCCTGAACTCGACGGCGAGCCAGGGGGGAGTGAGAAGTTGTTGTCTGTCTTCGGGGAAGGCCCAGAAAACGGTCAGAAGGCCTGGGGACTTCAGAACCTTCTCAGAAGGCCTTCTCCTTCTCACTTCCCCCCCTCGCTCGCCGCCGATAGATAGCAGGACTAGCGGAAACAGCTTGAGCACGATTCGCGCCAACCGCTGCAGGCTTGGTGGCGTTTTGGACTCGCGCGGTGCCCAGGTCGGCGGTCCTCTTACGGCGGCCGCGCGCACCGTGTGGGTTTTTGTGGAGCATCGCCCAGCCTGCGTCTCTTTGCGTACCCGTCGGTCGTTGAAAGCAGGTACTCCTGGATTTCCATTCTCCAATCTATTTTAGGCGCCTTCCCACTTGAATGATCGAGCGGAGATTGTTTTTTTATTGCTCGGACCCGTAACGCCCGTCACGGGGGGGGTCCCCCCCCCCCCCCGTAACGGTAACGAGCGTACGGGGACGGGGGTGCGGACCCCCCCTCCGTCCAGGCAGGCATGCTGTGACGCTCACATGTGTGCTCGGGTTCGAGGTTCGAGGTTCGAGGTTCGAGGTTCCAACCTGGGCGCAAACTCAAAATGGGTCCACGGGGCCCGACTGGGGCTCAGGCGCACCAGTTTCCCGAGCCGCGTCCAGCCGCGGCGACGACGAAGGCCCTCGAGGGCCAGTATGCCTCGATCCTCGAGGTTCGAGGTTCGCATCCCTCGGCGCGAACCTTTCAACGGGTTCCGGCCTGGCCCCTCCACCTCCTTTGCCTTGCTTCTGCATTCCCTCCAGTGCTCGTGCCCTCCACCTCCTCTCACCTCCTGGGGGGAGGGAGGAGCGAGGCAGAGGGAGGAGGAGGAGGATGAGGATGACGAGGAGGACGAGGAGGGTTGGAACAGGACCGGAGGGGGAGGTGATGGGGGATCGGGGGAGGGGCATGAGGAGGAAGAGGGGGCAGAAGAGGAGGAGGAGGAGGAGGAGGAGGAGGAGGAGGATGGCGCAGCGCACGGCTCAACCTATGGCGCAGCTTGCGGCTCAACCTATGGTGCAGGTAATTGTACGCGAGCACAACGTGTGGTGTAACGCATCGGGCAAACCATTGCGCAACCAGGTGGTGCACTCTCACAATGTCATTATGACTACTACCACTGTCCTCCCTCCATTCTCCCTGTGCTGGTGCAAGGGGCTGGACTGGGCGAGACCTGCACGCGGATGTGGCCGCATGTCCTTCCAGCGCTCGGCCCTCCTACCTCGCGCGGCTGGTCACGCCAGCCCCCCGCATGTGTATCCAGCAAGTGGGCCCCAAGCGCTGCTGAAGTTTTCGGCAACTGGCTGCGGACACGGCGGCGGCGGCGGCTACGGCGACGGCGGCATCGGCGGCGACGACGACGGCGGTGACGGCGGCGGCGGTCACCTTCACCGCCGCCGCCGCCGCTTGCCGCCGTCGGCGTCGTCGCCGTCGCCGCCGCCGTCGTCGTCGTCGTCGTCGCGGTCGCCGTCGCCGCCGCCCGTGTCGCCGCCGCCGCCGCCGTCGCCCCCCCGGTCGCCGTCGCAACTGACGGCGACGACGACGACGCACCCGCGTGCACGCTCCAGCCGTCGACCCATGTCTCAAGGGCCTTGTGCCTGTGCAGGGAGTTCCTGCTTCCTGTATTCCCTAGGCTGCCGCCGCCCCGCGCGCCCCCACGGCGCGTGGTTTACACCCCGCACAACAAAAGCCGTACAAAAGCTTTGTGGTGCACACGTGCCATGTGGTATACACAGGCGCCACGGCTTACACTCCCATGATGTACACAATCGCAATGGAGTGCACAGGCGTTGTGGGTTCAACAGGTCCGAGCGCGTTTGAATCAGAAAAACTAAGATCCACAAGCAACTCACAGAATGAAAAGGCCACGGTTGGGCCCCGAACGATTTTCTGGACTGTCGCTCCGCCGGTACCTTACAGGTGTACACAAGCTTTGTGGTGTACGCTGGCATTCTGGTGCAAACACGGGGCGTTGAAACAGCAGCTGTGGTGCACGCGGGCGCCGTGGTGTGCACCAACAGTGAGATGTACAAGGGCGCTGTGGTGCACCCGCCTGTCATGATGTGTTCAGTCGCCGTGGTGCACACACATACCATTTCAGCCGCAGTTGTGGTGTACAAAGGCATCGCGGTGTACAGAGCCTGTGTACTGTGCACAGGCACGGTCGGCTTCGACGACGACGACAGCGGCGACGACGACGACGACGAAGCCTACCGTGCCGACAGTTGTGCTGGTAATAAGTACCCGGGCCCGTGCGAGGGCCCCGCCGCGCGTTACTGTTGCCCCCAACTTGGGGCCGGACCCCCCCCCCTCCCCCCTTAACGGGCGTTACCCCCCCTTTTTTATTATAAAAAAAAGCTCGCGGTTGTCCCGCTTCCCTCCCCTTCAGGGGGCGGGTGGCGGGTTTGTGGCCCCGTCTACGTTTCGACGCTTTTTCGCACTGGACGTCTCGACCCACTTCTTCCGACTCTGGCGGGTCGCGCGAGCGAGCTCGAAAAAGAGGCATGGTGGCAGCAGCTTTCTCGAAGTGATATGGGAGGCTTCTTGGCCTTCGAGCGAGATCACCAAGCGCGTTTCCAAGCACATGCTGCGTGCAGCATCGGACGAGGAGTTGCTTTCAATGGAGTGGAACAAGCTCATCAAGGAGCTGGTTCAGCGGTCGCCAGAGGGGGGCTGCTGTTGTTGACCTCTCCCGATCCAGCGCATGCTCTTGTGACCTGCCCAAGCAGAACGCACATGTCAGATGTCAGGCGCCAATCCTGTAGTGCTATGGCACAGCCGTTGCACAAGCGGCATCAGGTAGATGCGCATCGCGCTCGGCATTCCTCATGGTTTGTCCTGTACGTTTTGAGTGCACATGGGTCCAGAGGTACAGGCACATGTCTTAGTTTTGGAAGGGCTGGACGAAGGGTCCGGTATTACAGCGCCGATTCCAAAGACGCGATGGTTGATTTTTTTCTGTTTTGTACGTTCACTGTTCCTCCCTTCTTCTCCTTCCCCTTCTCCTTCCTCCCCCACTCTCTCTCTCTATTTCTGTTTCTCTCTCTTGTTTTTTTTTTCCTTTCTCTCTCTCTCTCTCTCTCCCTCTTCCTCTCGTTCTCTCCCTCTCTCTCTGTCTCTTCCCCAGACGGTGTTTGCACTTGGGGCTTTTTCTCTGCGTTCGAAGCAACCCGATGGGTCTACCGCAGAGGTTTCGCCACGCTGCCGCCCAGTGGGCGCCCCGTGGGCGCCACGTGCGCCTGGTGGGTCCGTCGAGGTCTCGCCATGCCCACGGGCGCCTCGTGGGCGCCACGTGCGTTAACGCCTCATGCGCGCCCCGTGCGCTGGGCGGGCGCGCTTACGTCGGGACTGTTCCTCTGCAGGAGGAACATCCCAAACCACGCAAACGAATGATAGGGGGGCGGGGCGAACGTTGTACCACTCTTGGTTATGTTGGAGCATGTTTAACCATCTGTTATTATTCGTCCAAGATCCGCCTGCAGGAGAACGTGCCCGACCTAACACCAGTGAATCTGGACATCAGGCCTCTTGGGGCGTCTTGGGTGCCTCTTAGGGGCCTCTTGGGGCGCCTTGGGGGTCTCTTGGCAGCCTATTGGCGGCAGCTTGTGGGCCTCTTGGTGGCCTCTTGGGGCCTCTGAGCACCTCTTGGGCCCCTCTTGGGGCACCCTCGGGAGCCTCGAGGGCCATCTTGGGGCCATCTTGAATCAGACCGATCCAAGGAGGGGAGCTTCCAAACGAAGTCCCCCCCCCCATCGAGGCCCCAGCATGTGGCCACACTCTAGGTGAAATCAATGATTTTGGCTTCCTCGCCAGGCCACCTGGGATGCTCCAACGACCCGCGGAACGCCCCCTCCAAACCCTGGGGGAGGGGGCAGGGGGCAACCCCTCCCCTAGGGGAGAGGAGGGCGGCTGGAAGCAGAAACTGCTTAAACCAAACCACTCACGCCCGACAGTGAGCGGCTTGACTAAGGAGCACTTCCTTTTCGAAAGGGCCTCGGTCGTTCCTTAGAGACTTGCATGCGTGATGTGTCCCTCCTTGTGCGTTACTCCTTGGACAAAAAAAGGGCTTCGCTCCTCATCGATCGATCCTCAGGTGAGGCCGATGACTGTGAAGGGCCGGAACCTTCAGCTCCTCGCCCGTGCGGCATGCGAGGGGCGCCCGCCCTGCGCAGGGGTGCCCGCGGGCCACCGCCGGCACCGTGGGCCGACCCGCCTACACTGAGCCCGCGGGGCACGCCGCCGTGCGCCTTGACATCGCTCGGATGTGTGCGTTTTTTCCTTCGGCGAGGACCATCGAGGAGCATCCTCGACCATTTGGCACAAAAACCACGCACAAAACCGAAAAAAACACAGGGAATGGACGTCCAAGCGATTGCGAGGCGCTGGCGCGTGCGGTTCATGCTCGGTGTGGCGTTCCGTTTTCCTCGGGCAGCGGCGAGGCGCGTGCCGGCTCGCAGAGGGGCCCACCGAGGAGTGATCTTCGGGGGCGGAAAAAGAGGGGGGTGATGACTAGGGGGGGGGGGATATCATGGCGTGGGCCATGATATCTCCGCAGATTTCATGGCGCCTCTTCTTATTTCATTACGTCCCTGGCCCCCCGCGGGGCCGCGCACATGCCGCCGGTCATGATTTGCACCCCCCTCTTTTGGACCCCCCCTCTTGGCCGCTCCCGAGATCTAAGAGCCTCTTCTGGGGGTCTGCACGGGGTGTTCTCGGAGCCTCTTTTGGCTCTGGGGCTGTCTTGTCTTCGCACGTCGGGCGTTATGGTCTGAGAACGTTGTGTTTGTTCCAAGAACAGTCTTGTGTTCTAAGAACACGTCGTGGTGGGCCTACAGGAATGCTGGGACGGTCGGTCCCTGGTCAAGGTCCGTTCCGTTCCACGTGTCCGAGTCTGGCCTCCAGCCTGTCCTACGTCCTCGGCCATGGAGTGCTGCCGTGGCAGGGCAGCCAGCTCTGTCTTCAGACGCGTGCCCCGGGGACTCCGCGCAGTCGTCGCCCGCGGGCCTCTTCACCCCGAGCTCCACGACGGTCGGCCGATCCACCTCCGCCTGCCCACGAGCAGGAGGTCTGGCTCTGGCGGCGATGAGGGCAGGGGCGACGGGCCGCTTCAGCCCGCCCCTCCGTCGCTCTCGGCACCTCCCCTATACCGCCTCTGCCGTGCTGCCCTGTGCCGTGGCGACCCGCTGTGTGCCCCGCGCGGAGCTACATGATGGCTGCGCTCCGGCGCCTCCGGCTCGCCCGCCAGCTCCGAGCCGAACAGCCACCCTTTCGGATGCAACTCCTGGGAGGTCACATTCTGTTTTCGCCCTGATCCGAAATCTGGCTTAATCCAATCTCCGCGGTGTATTCCGCGGTCTGCTCGGCTTGACTGCACAGTTGCACACGCTTGCGTAGTCGCACGCTTGCGCGTTTCTGTCCAGTGAGCCGCCCTGTCCGACGACAATCTGAGAAACGGTATGGGACAACTGTCCAGGAACCGACGAAGCCGTTGGACGCGCGTTATTTGATGAATAACGCAGGTTCGGAACAATTTTTGCAACATTGTATACTTGATTGTTAGATGCCTGCTCGCCGGGAAGCCACATTACATAACTCTGCGGCGGTGTGCCAGGAAGCCTCATGACATGCTCCGCAAAGCAATGCGCAACCCACGCTGCAACGACCAGACGAGACCAAGACTCCCTGCAAACCAAGGCTCCCTGCGAGAGACCCGCACAGTCGGCCCGGATCAGTGGGTCGATCCTGCCAGCTCAAGGGTGCCCTTGTGTGCTGTGCCTCGCGACGCGTGCCTTCCTGCACTCCTCTGGCGATGTGGCCCTCGGAGGGGTCTTGTGCCCTCTCGCGTGCCCTGTCCACTCAGGGCCGACGCCAGACCCCCGACGTCATGATTTTTGTCATTACGTCGACCCCAGAGATCTCGACCCGTTCCCCGGGACCGGTTTTTCATCCTGAGTCGTTTTTTGACAGTCCCGAGAGCCGGTTAGGGCCTCCAAAGGCCGAAAATTAGGACAAATCTCCCGTCATGATTTTTTCATTACTCGAGGGGGTCTGGGACTGTAGCCATTTTGGCCCAAGGCATCCCTGGCTCCAGTCCTCGGGCATCCTCCCGGCCCCGCAGCCCACGCCGAGACCATGGCCCGCGCTCGCAGCCCGCTCTCCGGCGCGCTCCTGGCGGCCGCCGCGCTCTGCCTCTGCGCGCAGCTCCTGGCCCCGGCCTTCGTGCAGCCCCGGGCGGCCCGGGCGCAGGAGGGGGAAGAGGGGGAGGGGGAGGAGGAGGGAGGAGGGAGGGAGGGAGGGAGGGGAGGGGGAGGGAGGGAGGGAGGGAGGGAGGGAGGGAGGGAGGGAGGGAGGAGGGAGGAGGAGGAGGAGGAGGAGAGGAGGAGGAGGAGGAGGAGGAGGAGGCCCCGGCGCAGGAGGTCGACCCGGCCCTCGCGGGAGCCGTTGCGGGCCTCCTGGCGCTCCCCGGCGACGTGCTCGCGGAGGGCGGCAAGATCCCCGGCGCGCCGCTCGCCGGCTCGCCGGTGTGCCTCTCGAAGCCCCTGGTGTGGCTCATCTACCCGCTGTGCGACCTCGTCTTCCTCACCTCGCCCAGCTCGGGGAGCGTGCACGATGGCACGAGCACGCAAGCACTCTCTCGGGGCCGCGCGGGTCTCTCGGACCGACGCCGGACACCCCCCTACCTGGCGCGCGTTGGGCGTTGCGTAATGGGGGGGTCATAAATGGGGGGGTGGCGAGGGTGGTCCGAAAAGGTACCCAAACGGTACCTAAACGAGCCCCCTGGGGCTCCGGAGGGGCCCGAAAGGGGCACGAAAGGGGACCGTTTGTGACCCCCCCATTTGTGACCCCCCCATGAAGCCACGCCCAAGCGCGGAGCGCGCCAGGGGCGGCGCCGGAGGCGCCGCCAGGGGGCCCCAGTGCCGACCCGAGGTCTCCGCGGGGACCTCAGAGCTTGATGTACATGTCACCGTTTGCTCCCCGACATGGGCCGTTTCCCATCACCACTACCATTGGCACGCGAAGGAGGAGGACGAGGAGAAGGAGGAGGAGGAGGAGGAGGAGGAGGAGGAGGAGGAAGTTGTGGAACAGGAAGAGATGGAGAAAGAGGAGGAGGAAGAGGAGGAGGAGGAGGAGGAGGAGGACCTATCCATCCTCCCTTGTGCCCTGTCCTGCCCAAAGCAGTGGTGGTGGCAAACTGGCCCATCACATCTACCTCGCACCGATCCTCTTCATCTTCTTCGGCACCATCGTGACGGCCATCCAGCTCGTGCTGCCAGCCACCCAGCCGGACGAGGACCTGCGCGCTTGAGCTCCGCCGTCTTGGCCACCGGTGGAGAAGGGCGTCCGCTGCCCCCGAGGGGGCGAGTGAGCACGGCCGCTGGCAGGTACCCAGACATCTGGCCTCTCGAAATCATCGAGGCGGATGTCTTCAACAGTTTTGGGACTCTCGGGACCCTGACTGGGATTAAGATGGAAGAAGGACAAATTGCATTAAACAACAAAACAACTTTTGGCGCTCCGCGCGGATTTCTTGGATCCGCGCTGGGCCCCCCCGGCGGCGCCTCCAGCGCCGCCCTTGGCGCGCTCCGCGCTCCGAGGAGGGGGTCCAGCGCAGATCCAAGATATCCGCGCGGACCTCCAAAAATTATATTTTCGGGGGAGCGTAAGACCCGGGTTTGCCAGGACTCGGGTTCGCCATTGTTTTTTGACGACCGCGACTCGGATTTTGACGAGGAGGAGTTTCGTGGGATGTCTGCAGCGGGAGGCCTCGTCAAAATGTAGGCTCGGCCTCGTCATTTTTGTTGACGACCTCGTCGGGGATTTCCGAGTCCCCTGTACCCAGGTCTTACGTCCCCCTGATATTTATGCAGCTCGTTCTTCCTCTATTTCAGTAGTTCTCGGATTCTCGGGGTCCTGACGGGGCTCAGGGACAGTCAAGCAAAAACGACTCGGGATTCAAAGGCCGGTCCCGGGGAAGGCGTCGAGAAGTCGGGGGCCCGTGTCTCGGAGGAATCGGGGCGCCAGATGTCCGGGTATCTGATGTGGACGTTGGGTATCCTGGCCTGCTGCCTCCGCGCATCCCCCCTTTCCCCCGTTGTCCCGCCTCGCCTTCCCACCCTGCGCCAGCCGCGCGCGCGGCGCGCTTCGGGTGTGTGTTTTTGTTGAGATCATTTTTCCCAGCCTTCTTGCGCCAACCGAATAGCAGGAGAAAGTATTCGGATCACAGCGATTCTTTACGGGGTAAGGAACTGTTGAATTCTTAAACGTTTCGCGCATCACCACCAGCCACTCCCGGAGTCCCTTGGGAGTCTTAGGCCTCTTGGGGGCCTATGGAGGTCTCTCGGGACGTCGTGGGGGCCTCGTGGCGGTCTTCAGGGACTCTCTCAGGGATCCTGACTGCCATAAATTCGCCGCTGAAAACTTATGTGTTTCAATTGTCTCCTTGGGAACTATTCCACGGAGACCGAATAATTCGATCGATGCAGACACATGTGTATGTTTGTGTACATGTATACACATCTGTGTATAGATCTATGTATAGATACATATGTGTATACACACGCACCCACGCGCTTGCATGGGCAAATGCGTCTGAGGTGTATGCGTGCAGATGTGCAGGCAATTACTGTCGACGAGTAAGTAGTTCCCGCCTTACTGGAACACTGTACGCACGCGCGCACGCGCCCGACTGCGCCCGCGTACGCGCGGTGGCGTCCAGTTCTCGCGTTCGGTAGTCTTTGGTGCCTGATGGGCGCAGCGCTGCCGCGCGCGGCGTCGCGCGCGGTTTCCCTGGCCGGATCACGCGGTTGGTTTCCGCGTCTAATGCGTGTAACAGGCGTGGCTTGACGCCGAGAGGGGGTGCGCAGGAAATGGCCATTGAACGCAGAGTGCCAGGGCGGTCGCAGGGACGTCCCCGGCGGTCCGGTTTGCCCCGCATTTTTTGTTTCCGCAGTGAAGCGTTGGGAACGATTTTTACCTAACAGCGTTTGCTGATAGGTTTCTAGTAGGGTCAAAAGAGCTCACAGATCACTCCACAGGGGGGTCCGGGCAGGCGATGGGAATTGCCGGGCGGCAGGGGGCCCCGCTCGTTTTTCACCAACAGTCACACACTTCGTGCTCTTCGACTTCCCAGAACTCCATTCCCAGGCCACATTCTGGAGGGCCGGATGCAACAGTCACACACTTCGTGCTCTTCGAGATCCCAGAACGCCATTCCCGGGCCACCTTTAGAATAACCGGATGCAACAGTCACACACTTCGTGCTCTTCGAGTTCCCAGAACGCCATTCCCGGGCCACATTTAGAATAACCGGATGCAACAGTCACACACTTCGTGCTCTTCGACATCCCAGAACGCCATTCCCGGGCCACATTTAGAATAACCGGATGCAACAGTCACACACTTCGTGCTCTTCGAGTTCCCAGAACGCCATTCCCGGGCCACATTTCCGGATGCAGACACTTCGTGCTCTTCGAGTTTCCCGGGCCACATTCGGAATAGCCGGACGCAACAGTCATACAATTCCTCGTACTTGACACCCCAGAACCTCATTCCCAGGCCACATTCGGAATAACAGGATGCAAGAGTCACACACTTCGTGCTCCGAGACCTCCCAGAACGCCGGGTTATCTTGCTGTCTGGAACGGCAATCCCGGGATACATTCAGAGTAATCCCACGCGACAGTCACACACTTTGTGCTCTGTGACCTCTCAGAACTTCATATCTGGGCGACACTCCTGGGCAACACTCGTTCTCTCACTATCATGCAACACTCATACACAGTGTCCTTGTCGACCTGTCACATCTCAACTTTCAATTCCCTGACACAACCGTCACACACACACACACACTGATTTCTCTGAGTTGTTTTACCTAACAGCGTTTGCTGATAGGTTTCTAGTAGGGTCAAAAGAGAGCATCTGGACTCCACAGGGGGGTCTGGGCGGGTGCCGGGGAGGAGGGCCGAATCGTTTTTCGCCAACAGTCACACACTTCGTGCTCTTCGGAACTCCATTCCCGGGCCACCGGGAACAGAGCCGGGCTCGTTTTTCGTCAACAGTCACACACTTCGTGCTCTTCGACCTCCCAGAACTCCATTCCCGGGCTACATTTTGAGTGCCCGGAGCCAACTGTAGGCCACTTCGTGCTCTTCGAGTTCCCAGAACTCCATTCCCGGGCCACATTTTGGATGCCCGGAGCCAACTGTAGGCCACTTCGTGCTCTTCGATTTCCCAGAACTCCATTCCCGGGCCACATTTTGGATGCCCGGAGCCAACTGTAGGCCACTTCGTGCTCTTCAAGTTCCCAGAACTCCATTTGATTTTGAATGCCCGGAGCCAACTGTAGGCCACTTCGTGTTCTTCTAGTTCCCAGAACTCCATTCCTGGGCCACATTTTGAATGCTGAGGCAGGCTGATGCTGCGGCCGAGGCAGGCTGAGGCTGAGGCAGGCTGAGGCTGAGGCCGAGGCTGAAGGCAGACTGAGGCTGAGGCTGAAGCAGACTGAGGCTGAGGCTGAGGCAGGCTGAGGCTGAGGCTGAAGCAGGCTGATGCTGAGGCAGGCTGAGGCTGAGGCTGAGGCTGATGCAGGCTGAGGCTGAGGCAGGCTGAGGCTGAGGCCGAGGCTGAAGGCAGACTGAGGCTGAGGCTGAAGCAGGCTGAGGCTGAGGCTGAGGCAGGCTGAGGCTGAGGCAGGCTGAGGCTGAGGCTGAGGCAGGCTGAGGCTGAGGCTGTGACTGCGACTGCCGTTGCCGCTGCGACTGTCATCGCGAATGCGACTACGACTGCGAGAACAGCAGAATTCTACAACTGGATTTTCATCTGAATCTTAAGGGGAATGCTTTCAGATATGCTTCTACATATCGCTGTTAGGTTGCTTTGCCGGGATAATTTGTTTAATTGTCCCCCTTGATTTTTTAAAACCTTGCTTTGGAATCGTATTGCGTGCCCCTTGGGTGGACTTTTGGGGGCCTCTTGGTGGTTTTTCGGTGCCGCCTGGGGGCCGCTGAGGAGCCTCTCGGGGGCCTCTTGGGGACCTTTGGGGGCCTCAGGGTTCCTTGGGGCACTCTGGGGACGCTCTTGGGAGCATTTCGGGCCCATTCGGGACCATTTTGGAGGCGACCGATCACCGAGGGGGGAGTCCTGAATGGCCGCCCCTCCCCAGGAGGTTCGGGGAGGGTTGGTGCCCTGATGTTTTCGTGTCTTTTGGATACTTCTGTACGTCCGGAGGGGTGGTTCCGGCGAATTTTCTTCAGTTTTCAGGAGGAATGCAAGCACACAGACACAATTAATCGCTGATTATCAGGAAAAAATTGGAAAATATGGGAAGTGGGGAGGAAGACAAAAACTTTGAAAATACGGGAACAGATGGGGAATTTATTTATTTGTGTGTATTTATTTGTGTGCCCTGGGGCCCCCTCAAGTTTGGCCGGCGAACGGTCTCATGTTCAGGACGGGCGCTTTTCTGCTCCAGGTGCCGCCCCTTCGCGCGCAGGCCCCTTCCGACGGTCCTGCGCGCACTGGGCGCGCCGGGCGCCCCCTGGGGCCCGAGCACACCAGGCACGCCTAATGCGCCATCTATCCCGCGTGCTCCAGCCTTCTGTCGGGCCTGTCCCCCTACAGGGGGATTTTCGAGGAAAAATAAAAGATACCCAACAAATTCCCCCAAAAGGCAAAAAAAAAAAAAAAAACCAAAACATAGTCCCCTGATTATTTTTGGATT